GAAGGGTTAATGCTTATACCTTTTAAATTATTTTACAAAATAAAACAGAAGAAACATTGCCCAATTCTTCTTAAAAAGCCACAATTATCCTGATACATAAACCACACAAAAATCCAAAGAAAGAAAATTATAGAACAATTTCTCTTATGAACACAGATGCAAAAATACATGTAAACTGAATAAATGAACACATCAAAAAGATCATACAGCATGATCAACAAGCCTCATCCCAGAGACACAGGGATGGTTCAACTATAGTAATTTGATAAATATAATACATCATACAATCAAACTGAAAGAAAATAAATACATGATCATCTCATTAGATGCAGAAAAGGCCTTTGACAAAATCCTATACCTCTTTATGATAAATGCTCTGGAGACATTAAAGATAAAAGGAACATGACTCAAAATAATGAAGGCAATTTACAGCAAGCCCACAGCCAGCTTCAACTTAATTTGAGAGAAACCCAAAGCATTTCTCCTAAAATCAGGAACAAGACAAGATTGTCCACTCTCTCCATATTCATCCAATTATAGTACTTAATGTCTTAGCTAGAACAGTAAGACAACCGAAGAAAGATGCAAATAGAAAGGGAAGAAGTCAAGGTATCTTCATTTCAGCTTCATATAGGAATACAAAAAAAAAAAATCTCAGAATAGCTAAAACACTTCTAAAGAGTAAAAGAACTGCTAGAGGTATCACCATACATGATCTAAACATTGTAATTAAAAACAGCATAGTATTGATATAAACACACTTTGAAAAATGGAAATGAGCTGAAGACACAGACATAAGTCTACATGACTATGGACACCTGATTTTTTTTTTTATGAAGAAGCCAGAAATACACATTGGAACAAAGAAAGCAGCTTCAACAAATGGTGCTGGTCAAACTGGACATCTGTATGTAGAAGAATACAAATAGGTCCATACTTACGCTGTACAAAACACAACTCTAAACAGATCAAAGACCTTCAACAGAAAACCAGATACACTGAACCTAAAAGAAGAGAAAGTAGGAACAGAGTTGAACTCATTGGCACAGGAAATGGCTTTTCTAAAGTGCCTTTAACAGGCACTGAGATCAATAATTAATAAATAAGACCTCATAAAACAGAAAGTTCTGCAAAGCAAAGGACACCATGATTTGGACAATCTGGCAGAATCAGAACAGATTTTTTTCTTATCAACTATATATCCTATATAGGGGTGATATCTAAAATATATAAAGAACTCAAGTCATCAAGACAACAAAGACATCAAGACATCAAACAAACAACTATCCTGATTATTAAAAAATGAGGTACAGACATAAAACGAGAAATTTTGTTTTTTGTGTGTGACAGGGTTTCTCTGCGTAACTTTGGCTGTCCTGGACTTATTTGTAGATCAGGACTGGCCTCGAACTCACAAAGATCTGCATGCCCCTGAAAATCACTTAAAGAGATGTTCAATGTTCTTAGCCATCAGGGAAATGCAGATTCAAATTACTTTGAGATTTCTTATGCCACCCAGAATGGATAAGATTAATTAAAAAAAAAGACAAGAAATACTGGTGAAGATGAGGAACACTCATCCATTACTAATTGGAGTGCAAACTTGTGCAGCCACTATGAAAAATCAGACTTTCTGTTCCTCAGTATGCTGGGAACTGACCTACATCAAGATTCTGCTTTACCAGTCTTAGATATATACCCAAAGGACCCTTCATTATGCTTCAGAAATACTTGCTCAACCATGTTCACCGATGCCCTATTCCTAATAGCCAAAAATTGGCAACAACCTAAATGTCTGTAAACAGATGAATTGTTATGGCAAATGTGGTACATTTACATAATGGAATATTACTCAGCAATTAATAAATATGAAATTCACAGGTAAATGGATGGAACTAGAAAATTAAAACATCTTGGGTGAGATAACCCAGATCCAGAAAGACAAATATGTCATGTATTCAACTAGCTATTTAGTCATTGATATCAAGCTATAATCTGTATAACTACACAGGTTAAGATAAAGAGGCTGGTGGGAGTGATGGCTCTCCCTAGGAAGGGGAAACAAAATAGATAGTTATGGATGGATTGCAGGAGACAGGGTGAGGGATGCTGATATGGGAGTATCAAATGAGGAGAGAAGAAGAGAGGGTGATGGGGGTTGAGGGTGGCAATATGGGTAGAGGTAGCTAAAACTAAGGGCCATTTGAGGGGTGTGGTGGTTTGAATCAAAATGGATGGCAAATAGGCTCATAAGAAGTGGCACTATTAGGAGGTGTGACCTTTTGAAGTAGGTGTGGCATTGTTGGAGGAAGTGTGTCACTGGGGGCTGCCTTTGAGGCCTCAGATATGCAAGCCTGGCCACCGTGACTCAGTCTCTACCTGCCGTCTACAGATCAAGATGTAGAACTGTCAGTTCCTTCTCTAGCACCATGTCTGCCTGCATGCTGCCATGCTTTCCTCTGTGACAATAATGGACTAAACCGCTGAACTGTAAGTTGATCAAAATTAAATGTTTTTCTATATAACAGTTGTCATGGTCACGGTGTTTCCTCATAACAATAAAACCCTAAGACAAGGGTTTGTTTGGAAACCGAATACAGTAAAAACTTCCTAAAACATACATTTATGAAAGTGATCTAAACAAAATTAATTGCTAAATAGTGTGGGAGATAGAGCCATAACTGGACATCTCTTGTCACCAAATGAAGGTTCTTGTACCCATACCCAAAGCTACCTGGGTGGACAAGAACCTGGGACTAGATAGCCCAGAGCCCTAGGGTAAAATCAAATTCTACTAAATGACGTACCAAAAAAATGATTCTTAGTAATGTTCTTTTATACTTAAAGATCAGTGCCTTGCTCAGCCATCTTCATGTTCCTGCAGAAGATGAGAACAAACACAGAGACCCACAGCCAGACAATGTGCATAGATTGAGAGACCTTGTCCCACTTAGCCCTAAATGGGATGTCACCATCAAATATCTCCTTTCATGGCTCAGAGAAGAGGCTGAAAACGAGTGTGAGAGCTAGAGGGGATGGAGGGCACCAAGAAAACAAGACTTCTAAGCAAAGCAGGACCCAACACACATATAAATTCACAGAGACTGTGTGGCGGCATCCACAGGGCCTGAACCAGATGAGGTCCTGATGTTGAGAAGAAACGTGGGCACATGTCCTAGCCCAGAGGCCAACTCCAGCTAGTAACCACCTGAAAATGAAAACTAGTTTCTCCAGGGACGTCTCACTGGGGAAATAAACTACTCTTAAGGATAGGCCATGCCCAGCAGTCGATGGCCAGGATAAAATTAACTCAAAGGTGTCTTTGAAGATTCTTTGTCTCTTAATGTTGAACTAAAGCATTCTTTTTTTTTTTAACTGTTCAGATCCTTTGCATGTGTATTATTGGTTCTAGTTTTGTGTTTTTATGAGATTCATGCATGTGCAAATTTGTGTGTGTCTGTGTCTGTATGCGTTTCTTATGCTTTTCCTCTGGCTATTTTAGTTCTGTTTGTTTGTTTTGTTATGTTTTTATCTTACTGTGTTTTACTTAATTTAATTATTATCATTTCTTAGGTGCCTTTTTTTCTAAAGAGAGATAGAAAGTGTGTGGTTCTGGCTCTGGTTGGGAAGAGAGCTGCAGAGCAACTGGGAAGAGGGAAGAGGGAGGGGGAAGGGGAGGAGACACAGTAATCAGAATATATTGTGTGAAAAAAATTATTTTCAATAAAAGAAAAATACAACTTCAACAGAAAAACAAAACCACTTAAATTAAGCAACTTCTTTTGCTTACCCAGTACTGTCTATTTGATCTGACACATCTCAGGGGGTCTTTTATATTTATAGACCTCCGCAGTGTTCAACTTGATCTCTTAAAAACAAACAGGATGTGAGTGAATGGCAATAAAACCAATGCATTATAAATATTCCATTTCCAGCATATTACATTGGGATACCAATAAACAAAAATGTATTTTCCAGAATTTTAGCAATGAATACTAATCTGTACATTTTACTTTAATGCTGTAACTTAGGAGCCTATAAATGGGAGCCATTTGGACATCTGTTGAGTTAGTGGTGGAGTAAAACTGGATACATGTTCATTTTAGGAGATGAAATTAAATTCTTAATGCACTTATGTTAAATGTTTTGCATACAGTTTTCCGATGCTTTCCATAAAAATCCAAGCTATCTGAACTAACTGTCATTCACAGTACTGCTTAATCTTTTCCAAATGCCAACTCCTTGGCTAACATGTTAGCTCATATTTCTACTGGTAAAGTTAATTCTTACCCTAAAACACATACATTTCTCTATGTATTTATTCCCTAAACCATCTGCAGCCATCAAGCTAAAAGCAAGGTTTCACTGAGCTCTTTGCAGCTGCCAGGCTGTCTCCAGCATGATGACATCTGAAAGCAAGCATTCCTGCAGATAAGAGAGTCCTCTTTATGGCCATGGTCTGTGCTCCTTTAGGTGGTTTCTCTGAATGGGCAGCAATGAGCCACCAGCTGGGTGTCCAGTCATAAGCACAGGGGGAAAAAAGGTAAGAGAAAGATGTGGCTGTCGTGAACAGGATGGGAACTCTTAGGTGGGCAACGTCAGAGGAAAATTCACTTGAAAGACCTACTGGGGAAAGAAACACAGAAGAAGCCAAGACCACCAGCAGACACACACACACACACACACACACACACACACACACACACACACAGAGAGAGAGAGAGAGAGAGAGAGAGAGAGAGAGAGAGACAGAGACAGAGACAGAGAGAGACAGAGAGAATGAGTAATCCCACCTCAGCTGTGAGGCAGAGCATGAAGGCCTGTGGGCTAGGAGCAGGCACTCCCTCCTTCAGAAACCACCCATCTTGTCATTCCAGCTAAGTGCTTTGTGAAAGTACCTTTGTAATATTGTATACCTTTTAAAATTGCAATTCACTACTAAATAATGGAGCAGTTTTGTTCAAAAGCAGTATTTATTTTTTATTAAGATAAGAGGCACATTACATTTCTATAGAAAATAATGTGAGAGGAAAAGCTGCATGTTACTGATATGACAAAAAAAAATCACAAAAGCCCTCCACTTATGAAAGTGTTTTGCCCTATAAGACCATATGAAATGAGAGGCATTATTCCAAGTGAGTGATGTATGCAGAACTGTATATTTATTGGGTTGTTTTGAAATGTAATTTGTACAATGGTTTGTTTTTTATTTTTACTTCTTTGATAGCAATGGAACAGATTTATTTGATACATGTTGGATGTGCAATAGATAACAGATAACCAAGGGAGAGGGTTTAATAAAAACACTCCAGAAAGAAAAGGCAACATAGGTGCACATGTCTGTTTACATTGCAGCTAATAAATACAAAGCCCAGCCATGGCCTGAACTGGTTCTTGCCACCAGGAAGGTTTATTGAAAACTGGATAGAGCACTCTGATGTTTTATATTCACAGCTGTGGCTGAGCTGTGCCGTGTACAATGAGTAATGGAACATAACTTGGCTTTAGTACAGGAGACCATTATTTCACAGGAAGCTTGCAAGTGCCATAGAGAGAAAAGTGGCTCCTGATTTGGGACCTGGCCTACTTCTCATTGTTCTGTGGCATGCTGGACAACTGAGCAATGCAGTATTAATTTTAATAATCCTTCGAGTAGAACTGACAGATAATTGCACAGAACCTTTAGAAGATATGTGACAATAAAAGCAGGTTTGCTGAGCCAGCAACTTGGATTGCACAGCATCATACTTATCCATACAAGTGTATCTGAACCACTCATCTGCCACTGGACTAAAGCAGCCTGTGAACAGGACTGGTACCAGACGGGTCCGGGCTCAGGGCAGCACTGGACTCACCAAAGAAATCCGTTCTTTTTTCTACTCAACGCAGGAAGAAAAATGTAGCCTCAAGCTGACTTGGTCCCTCCCAAGCATCTTGCTGTGGAGAGCAATGAACGGCGTCCCGTTTCTGGACTCAGTCTCTTTAGAATAGCTATGGAGAAGCCACTGAGGAAAAATGACTCTCATTCCTAATAACCAATGCAAAAAGCTTTCCAGTGGGAAAGCAGGACAGATGTCTTCCACGACTTACAGCTGGCTCTGTAGAGTAAGGTCAGAAGGCGTGAAAAGGATAGGCAACACACGACTGATTTCTGCTGATCCAGAAATAGATATTCAGAATCTTAAGTATAGTATTGGGGATTAACATCAATAAGAGTTAGTTGTTTTGTTAATGCACAAAAGCTTTAAGGCTATAAATGTTTGATGATGGATTGTCTAATTTAACACAAGTCCATATGTATATATTGAAAGATAAGAACCCAAAAGCAAAACATAGAAAGTTATTGGCACAGTTTGGAGAATTAAACACATTTTAAATTGTGGACCTTATTTAATAGCTCATTTAGTTTTCCAGTTATGTCAATACTCGCTTATTTCTGACTTTCTATCACTTAAGTCTTGCCGTGAATATCATGTTGAAAGGCTCGGGCATGATGCCATGCTATTCCTGAATACACTTGGTTTTCTGCAGATTTTTAGAATAAAAAATAATAATAATTCCAAAGTTCTGCTGCAACCAATTGCTTGTCTCTTGAAAGATTCATCCAATTATTTGAGCAATTCATTGAGAAGGATGCTCAGTGACCTAGCTTGCCTTGACAAAATACATAAAAGAGGATTTAATGACCTGATGTTTAACCATCATGTACTACTGTGGTGCAGTTTTGGAGACAGATACTTACTGTCCACTCTTGTAGGTGTGTAGTGCATCTCATGAAGAAAATATTTAACTACTTGCTTTCATCCCCAGAAACTACATATATTTTTCTCCTTATAATTAAGATACATACATAAGAAAGTCTCATCTTTTGTTTAATGGACAAATACCTTCTTTAAGAGAGCAAGATCCAACACATTTTATGACACAAAGTTTTAAGAGAAATTTACCTTCTCAACTTCAAAAAATATATCTTATATGTTTGACACATTCCTTACTTTAGCACAAAATTGAGTAATCATCTAATCATTTGTTTCTGGAGAACCTCAGTAAATACAGCTTTGCATCTATTTACACACATAGAGCTAGATGTGTATCTGGGTATACATACATGTCTTCACATACTGTTAATAAGTGAATTCCTATGTTTATAGATCTAGAAATTGATGATGAATGCTTTCTTTTGCCACGGCACTAACAAAGCAAGGTTTCCACTTTTATTCACTGCATTGTCGATTAGAAGCAAGTCTGGCTGTTTAGGGTTGTCAAAGGGTCCCTTATTCCCTTTTTCTTAACCTAAAGGTTATTTCAAGCATAATGTACATATGTGCACCATGTTTTATCGAGGTGGTCTCGAGCTGCAGATGCAATCACACCGCTCATGATGATCCAGCTGGATATCGACAAGAGCCATCTTCTTAGCTTTGCCTCTTCTCTTGAAATGGCCAGGCTCAAACTTCAATACCTATGGTAAGAAGTACATTTCCCGTTAGAAAGCCCTTGGGGTTCAGCCAGGTGCTGCCCACCCACTCCGTTTCTGGAGACTAGTGCGTATGCCAGCAAAAAGAGATAATGAATGAGATAAACCTACTGTTGTAGATACTGCTGGAATAGCTACACATGTAGATATTGCTGGACATAACCCCTGACCATGCAGGAGCCTACTCCTCCTGGTATAATGCCCCTGCCTCATCTTTAGCAGGAAGAAGACTTCAGTTGTCTTAGCAGGCATTAGTGATAGTCTCCTAAAGGCGTGGGTTGTGCTAAGTACTATCCAAACAGACCATTGTTCTGAACACAAAATGTGTTGTAAACAAATACAATACTAATCATATTACCACCAAGCACAGGATAATAACTTTTTGTTGTTGTTGTTGTTGTTGTCTTTTTTTTTTTCAGACTGTGCCAATATGAATAAATACTGGATTGAAGGAAAACCCTCCCCTCCTCCTCCAGAAGGGCATTAGTGGCCACAGAACTATTTTTGCGACTATATAATGCCTTTTGTACTTTAAGATCCAAATGCAACAAAAATGTTTGCACATTAATACCTGTGTGCCATTGTGTTACCCATAATAACTTTTAAAATACATAGTTTAAAATGACTTTTTCTTCTTTTAAAAATTTATTAATTACTGTTTGTTTGTAAGAGAGAGAGAGAGAGAGAGAGAGAGAGAGAGAGAGAGAGAGAGAGAGGAGTCAGTGGGAGTCAGAGGACGGTTTTGAGTAGTTTGTTCTCTCCTGCTATGAGTTTTGAGGATTGAATCGAGGTGTCAGGCTTCCAGAGAAAGCATTTTTATCCTCTAAAGCCATCTTGCTGGTCCCTAAAATAATTTTACAAGTCATTAGTTAAAAACAAACAAAACTCTAAGCCTTCTTTTCTGCTGTAGGCTTCACGGAACCAAACACAGTCCCAGGAACATACACTTGGTAACACCACAAACTCATCTTCATAGCTTATTCACAGTCCATTTCTTGTCTTCTTTATGTACACAGGTTTCCTCTATGTCTTACTTGTTTCTTTCATCATCATGATACAAATGAACAATTATTTAGCACCTTATTCTTTTCCAAAAATTTGTACAGCTTTCCCCAGTTTGGGCCATTGTTGCATGATGGGAGGTGTTGGCTGTGCCTGTTTCACTGATTCCACAGGCAAGGCTTTAATGGCAGGGAAGTCCCTTGTCTACCGTCTTCTGGCGACATGGGCCCTGCGCCAGGATATTCTCTCCTAGTGTCTAGAAATGTTGACAAAATGTCTCTGTGATACACCTGCGATTTCCTTGTGCATGTAAAGCTTTGCCTGAATCTAAGTGTGCAGTGCAGTGAAAGCTTCCCATGCTTTGCTGGGCACCCTGTGCACCTCACTGAAGACCACACGGGGGAATGTCCTTTAATGTCTGCATAACTTCCCATGGCTTCTCTGCAATTCTACATTATAAATTGTGTTCTCAGACATCTCCTTGCTCTCAAAAAGTGCTGAAAGTCTTAGCCAAACCCAGAGTGTATATTAGGAATAAATGTGCGGAGACTCCTCAACACTGAGTACCCCCATCTGCAGTCCCCTTTAGCAATACTGTTTCCTGGGCCCTCCAGTGAGGCAGCGACCAATCCAGTGTTTTTATGTCCATTACAGTGAGGAGCCTGCAGTTTGATCCAGAAGAATGATTCCAAAAATAGATGAATGAAGAACCATGCTCCAGTTCAAATGACAATTTTATAAAATATTGTATCACTATTTTCTCCAATGAGTCTATGCAATGATGTGTGCATATTCTGAATCACACAATTCTGCATGAATTCTTAGGTTCTCCCAGTTAACTGGATTGTAAAAGCTCGTGTAAGCATGGCAAACATTAGCACCAACATTGAGTATGTCCTAGATACCAGATCCTGTTGTAAGTGGCGTTTCAAGTATGAAATTATTTGGATTTTGCTACATGAATGAGCTCTTTTCCTAACTTAATAGGCACATTAAGATAAGGATTAAGTTACTTGCTTAAACAGGGTCATGGAGCTAGTAAGTGGGAAAACCAGAAAGAAAGAAGACCAGGGTGGCCTACACCAGTCCTTGTCCATGAAAGGTTTTACTTGTCTATCTAAGCAGCATGTTGGGAACAAAGTAGATTCAGGAAAACAGGTCTTGGTGAAGATAATGGGTACTGCGGCTTATATGGAATGTATGGAAAGTTTTCCTTTTTTCATATCTTGCCTGTGTTCTAGCTTCCAGCAAACAACGTATGACAATATGGAAGCGGCCAGCGAAATCTTCTAAAAATAAAGATCTTGTTCTTCAGTGAAAATCTAAGAAATGAATTTACTCTGGGGTATCAAGAAGCCCTGCTCATGACAAAAAAAATTCTGCCATGCTTGGAAAGAATGTTTGGGACAGGACAGGGGTTGAATCCAATTTCAACAAAAATCTCTCCAATATATTTTCCTTACTATTGACCCAGACTGTCTGCATGGAAACAGGATTAGGAGGTAACAGGGAGTAACATGATTCCAGAGAAGCTGAACATTCTAAACGTATGTGTTTGAAGAAGACTGTTATCAAGGAGTGATAGTTTTCAGTGGCAGGCTCCTGTAACATCAGAGCTCTGTTCATTTGATTTTCCATTTGATGGCAAAGTGAATGAGCAAAAGCCTAGGTATGTGTTTTTAACTGGTCTTCTGATTGTTCAGGGACTTTATCCTGTGTTTTATAATAAGCTACAAGAGCAAATATATATATATATATATATGTATATATATATATATATATATATTATAAATATATATATTTGCTGATAAGAAAAAAAATGAATTGGCAGACACTTTCTCCAGACAAGTCAAAAAAGCACTATTTGAACAGCGTGGAAATTGGACTGCTTTAGTGGCTGATCACAGTACTGATGTTCAAAGCTTTCAGACCATGTAATAGTCTTAAGTTCAGGTACACAGTATTGAAAGGATGAAGAAAGCAAGGTTGATTTGAGGGAGCATGGCAAGTTAAAAGAAAAATGAAAAGCTTTTATCAGAGAGAGCGAACTGGTGGGTTGTGGGTTATCTGGCCACCTTTAAAGGTAAGGAACCGTTGAATTAATTACAGCAGCCAAAGGAACTTGGTAATAGGTGCTATCACAAAATGCTTTTCTATTTTCCAAGCCATGATTCTCAGCTGCAAGCATTCACACAGAAATAAAAATCTGCTGAGGGGCAGCCAGCCATAGCTCAGCACCTATGGGTGAAAATGGAAATCTTGACTCCTTTGCGGTGTCTGCAAAAACCACCTGAAACCTGGAAAATTGACATGTACTAAATGGAGAGTGAGAGACCAACAAAACCAGAGATTCTCAGCTTTATAATTTTCCAATGTCACAATCACACAAGGTGTTGAGTGACAATCCTTTGTGGTGTTGCCAATAAACCAGTGAATGAGTCATTGCTATAAGGCTGTTAACACTAATAAAACAACACCAGGCAGAAAAAACTATCTACTGAGTTGAGTTCTTGTTTATTAGGAATATAAAAGAAAGTTGTTAAAACTTTGTAGCAGTTAATGCTTGGCATACAGACACAAGCACATATTTCAGGGCAAATGCATTGTGTAAACATGAATCATCAAGACTTTAAGATTTTTACCTAGCTTTGACAGCAGGTAGTATTCAACACAGAGATTCAGTTCTTTGAGAAAAACAACCAACCATGCAAGCAAGCAAATAAACAAACTCTTATTTTTGCCTCTCTATTGGCTTCTTTTACATGTAAAGACTTGATATGAATGTAGAGATTCAAGCATTCTAAGGAATGACAGGGAATTACTCCGAAACTCAGGTGTATAAAGAAAGGTAATTGGAATAGGAATAGCATTTTTCCCCTGAGTGATGACTCAACAGAGGATGAGCAGTGTGTCTGAAGTACTGACTCAAGTCTAAGACACAGAACCTCTAAAGAAAGACACACGGAGAAGTTTAAAGGTGGCGAGATCTGGGTTACAGCGAGGCTTTAGAAAATGCTTATGGCTTCTGAAAAGGCAGTCTTGACATCTGTAGATATTTGTTTCAGCTGAAAGCTTTATATTTAATTATCATGGGAACTTTTATAGAATTAAATGGTAAAATAATTTGATAGCACCTTAGAGAAACACTGTGCACATATTCAGCCTCTCCGCTGCAGGAAAACATCGAAGCTGGTTTCCTTGGGATTCTAGACATGTGTTGTTTATGACACAGGTGGGCCTTCCTGGCTTAGACAGTACCATGTCCCTTGCAGGTTTGCTAAGATTGTTGAAGAAGGTTTGGCATGATGCTAGCTGGCGACAGAAAAGGGTATGCATATGTTGCAGTATTGGAACGAAGAGCCCTTTCACTTGGCAAGTGGGTGAGCAGGGCTGAAAAGCAGTCAGCATAGAGACAGACCATTGGCTCTTACAGTTCAGTGCACACTTACCTTGTGCTTTACAGTCTCGGATGCTGTCAATCATATCCTCCCATGGAAAGAGGCACAAGCACTATTTTTGTCATTCTGAGAAGGACTAAACTCCATTTTTATATAAGCTGTCTATGTACATGCAACATCCCATACCACACCTTTATTCTTTTGCAATCACATAGCCCTTCAGCCATCAATTTCTTCCTATTGCTTATGCAATTTCAGTAGGAGATTCTGCGTGGAAGGGAAGTGGAACAGTTGATGGGCATCATGCTGTTGGCTTCTTAAAACCTTCAAGTTGCTGGCTTCTCTCTGATGAGGGGTTTGCTTGGCTAGCATGCAGCTGCTGTCTGGTGGGTCAGGGCTTGAAACTAGATCATTTTGCTTCCTGCTTGGCCATTTTCCTGCCCTGGTCCTCTCTTTCAACAGGGAAATTGGAATGACACATGGTTCCTCCGAAAAATTAGAAAGGCTCTCCATCAGCTCCAGGGATAGTGGTTACAGAAAACTGATATCAAAATTCCCTTGAACTTTCATGGTCCTTACTTAACA